GCACTAATTGAACCTTTTTATAAATCATTCCTGTACCATCTTCCAGGGTAAAGCTGTGGACAGATGTTCATTTAACAAGACATCTGTGCTGGTTTAGGATGTTACTGTATCCCAGATGTTACACCACTTTTTAAGGTTATTGGCCCTGTTTTGTATATTTAGTACCATCGTTTCGCTCAGCACTTCGCAGAGCACAGGAAGGTAGGTAGTTTCTCCCCTGAATGATCTAGAGGTTTTGGCATTTGAGAAAGAGTGGGGAAAATCTGGAGCGGTCCATATGTACGCATTCTCAAAAGCCTGAAGCAAAATGCAGTGGATCAGTAAGGTGGTTTCCGTGGGTGGTCCGAACAAATCGTCACCTGATTTTGTTGGTACCAGCTTACGGAGAACTTGCAAGAAACTGGTGTCTGGCAATAACTTTCTGGGTAATCATAAACTAGCGGCCTGGCAGTGACAGGCGTCTGAGGCTTGTAGCTTTCTCAGTTATTGCATGTGGTTCCAGGAGATGCTGGACCCCGGCCTCATTACTGATCACCTTGTGGAAAGAATGAGTAAGATTCAAGATGTACTTTTGACCTACGTTGTACTCGTCAGGTTACGGTGCTATTGCTGTCACCTTTTTAAAAACAAAAACAAAACCCCAAACACGCAAAAAACTTAATGCATTAAAAAAAAAAAAGAGAGATACTACTTCTTTTACTTTTTACTCGCAGGTGAATAAGACACTTTTCCATTTTCTGCTGGATTGTGTGTCCGTGCTGCTCTCCATGCAGCTCAGCAGAAGCCACTCGGGTGCCCGGTGACCTCGCTGTGCTAGCGAAGGCTTTCAGCTGCCTCCATGGGGCTTTCCCCCGGTGCGGAGGGGACACCTGTGCTCCCCTCAGCCCCGCAAAAAGTTTTTCTGGGCTGTTTCCCTAAATTTAATTAGTTGCTTACCCAGAGAAGAATTAGATATTTTTGTTTACTATGTTGTATTTTAAGATGGAGATTAATGAAAGGCAATAGCTAAGAAATCTAGTTGATAACAAATTTAGGATTAGGTCACAAAGGATTTTGATAAATGACTCCTTTTTACACAAATATGAGTAAAATTATTGTAGACCGTAATCACATTCAACTGGAGTCCTATATACGTAAAAAAGTGTAGTTTTGTCCTTTGTTGGCTTCATTTCCTGAAACGCTGAATGTGCTTTAAACACTAAAAGAAGTTCTGTTTCTCTCAGTGGATCTGTTCTTTTAAACAGAGAGAGATGTGCTTTTGTTTTTTCCTTCTAAATTGAACTCCGTTGTAGGAAAAAGGCAAGCGAGAAAGCCAGTGGCAGAAACCTTGGCAGCAGTTCAGCGTGCGTACCAAGCCCACTGCCTGTTGTACTGACTGATATTTATTGTTGTTTTCTTGTAGAGTCTGTATCGCTCAGGCTCTGCCTGGACATTCTGTTCTTGGTTTGTAAGCTGCTGGAGACGTGGCTCATCTGCGTCGGGTACTTCTGCCGTCGTGAGCTGATGGGGTTCCTGCAATGATACGTGAAAACGTGATGTAGTTACTCCTCCCAGTAAGAAAGTTTGGGATGGAGCTTTGAGATCTAGAGCAGAACTGCGGTTATAATATCCACGTAGCAGTGATGCTTCAGTACTGTCTGGCGTTGTGTGAGCGAAGGGGAATAGTCACAGGCTCGTGTTCTGTCTTGTTTTAGGGCAGCAAAAGCTGTCCCCGCCGCTGTCTTGCCCCAGCAGCCTCTTCGCATCCTCCTTCAGAAGGATGAACTTCAGAAGTAGTCAAGTCCCAGGAGAAGAGGAGAGCACAGGTTGCTTTCCCCACTTTGTTTAAGGGGGAGTGGAAAAAATAAATAGAAAAATAAAGATTTACAGGGCTTGTCAGTAGGAAAATCTAGTGTTATGCAAACCAGCCAAAGGCTTCATGTATAAAACTATGAAGTAAAATGTATAAAGTTAATGCAAGTAACATTAAACAGTCCGTTCGTATTACAAATGTTGATTGCAATGATTAGGTATGCTATATGGCCTTTTCGAATGGTGTTTTCTGTGGAAACGTTAAATTATAGTTGTCAGTACAGTGTATATTTCACTGTTTTGTGACTTGAATCATTTTTTTTCTCTAAGCTGAACATAAATTTGTAGGCTATAAAATCTCTTCTGATGACTGTGAAATGAATGTAACTAGCAAAAGTAAGTTTATGGTATAATGCGGTATTTTTTCCACCACTTCTTCAGTTTTATTTAAAACCTGCATGGCATTATGAAGGCTTTTTGCAGAATATTTCAGGGAGGGGAATGGCAAGAAAACACCAGACATGGTTATATCTTTTGCTGAAAGAAGCAATTATGTTTAATTAATTGAAACCTCTGATTTTCTTTAGTGTTAAATAGGTTGCTAAAATACGGTGGGGAGTTCAAGGAGTGAATACTGCTCTTGTTTAAACAAAATGTTTAAAAAGGCTTTGTAAGGTACTTTGGTGTTTAATACATGAAATGTAGCTTTAATAGAAAAATCTAAAGCTGTATGTAAATTGCTAAATAAACATAAACAATCACCATCTTCCCCTATCCAGTGACCTTCACCTCCAGGGCTGTGTCGGAGAACACTGAAATGGAGTACTTGTGAAGAAAGCAGAATTATCGTTTACCTTTATGATGATTGCAAAGTAATCTTGGTTTAGTACGAGCTTGTAACTTTGTGTTGCAGGCGGGTAGTTGGTAGAAGACTAATTGGGATAGGATTTAGAAATAATCCCCGTTGTTAGCTGGTTGTGTTCTGTAAAGCTTTTGAGCACTCCTGCACCAAGGGAAGGGATTTCACTTACCTGCATTCCCATCCTTTTGTTTGGGGCTGGCTGGTGGGCTGGGATGGTTTGAAGAACTACAAGAAATGTAATACTTAAATGCTCTTGTTTTCTTACCAGCTGTATTGTTTTTCTAAGTGTTAGAGGAGGGTTATCTCAGTCTTGCTGGAAGAGCCTGTTCTATGCAGTGAGCGTGCTCTTCCGTTGGCTCTACTCCTTTCTCTTCATTATGGAGGGGAATAAATCTGAGTGACGATCTCAGATGCTGCTGAGAGAAACATTCGTGTCCTCCCCGCTTCCAAAACATGTGTCCGCCTCCCAGGCAGCTCACCGATGGCTGTACACGTGGATGGGCTGATAACGGTGGCTGAAGGGAGGAGTGTAAGACAGTTCCCTTTGGTCCCTGTGTAGTTTATTCTGGTTTAAATATCTGTGAAACGTGGGTTTTAAGAAACTACACTGGAAGCTTGTAAAGTGACAAATAACCAAAGGGGACGCTGGCTTCTGTCTCATCTAAGAAGGCTGTTATTTTGTGTGTTATGCGTATGCTCTCACTGCTCATGGATGAGCAGGCAGGGGGAAGGATAACCTCGTATCCCAAGGGTTCCCACTGCGCCCACGTATTTCAGCATTGCCCTGAACAAATTTCATAAGGATGCCAAAAGTCCTCCTGTCCTTCATCTCTTCTTGCTTTCTCTTCCCCCTGGCTCCTTTGTAAATCGAGTGGATTTTTTCAAGCTTTGGTTTGAGCCTCATTTTAATTCTCCTTTTCCTCCTTTGCAGAGACAAAACTAGTCCCAACACAATTTGGAGGAGTTTTCTTGTTAGGGAGTCCAAGGCAGGCACTCCTCTTCTAGCAGGAGAATGACACATGTGGACTCAAAAGATGGATCCAGTTCTGCGCACGTTATCCTCTTTGATCCATGAGAAGCAAAGGCCCTGCACGACAGTTTGTTTTGTAGCCGATTTAGCAGATCTAGTTCTGCGGAAATAGTTTGGATAGATTTAAGTATGATAAGAAACTGTACAAAAAAAAAAGGAAGTGCCGGTTTGGAATGATTTAATCACTTAGAAAAACCAAACCAACTTTTCCCCCCCCTAACATAGAACCAAACCCAAACCTTTGAGAGGCCTCTGTGAAAGAGGAACCGGAGCGGTTTTGTATTGAGGGGGGCGAGCGGGGTGCCCGTGTGCTGGCCAGCGTGGCATCCCCATTCAAGGCGTGTTGGTTGGGTGGATGGTTGCCTGGGCACTCTGGGAGGTTGGAACCGCTGAGATGCCCCAAACCGCTCAGAATTTGTGTACTTGGAATGAGAGGCTCCCAGGGTCTCCCAGGCTTTCCGTCAGCACGCTGGGCAGCTGGCCAAGTAGCCTGAAAATTTGGGAGGCGAGGTGCCAAGCTCTTGGCTCCCTTTCAAATGGGCTGCCGAACAGCTGGGAATCTGGATGCTTGGGCTTCTCAACAGCCCACCACGTTAGTTGCTGAAGAGCCAGGCAGGGAGAAAAGGCTGGAATTTGTGGCACAAACCCGTCTGCTTTCCATCAGACTTCGGTTGAAATTGAAACAAATCTGCTAGGTGTTTTCATCTTGCTGTGTTGTCCTCATGTAATGATGTTTTTAATGTGATGAGATCTAGTCAACTCGCGTAACATTTTATTTTATGGGTCAAAATATTGGTTCCGCTGAAAATAATGCGTGTTTCCATTTAATGACTTTAGTGTCATTATTATTCTATAGACTTTTCTTCCAAGGATGCTCTGAATGGATCAGTATCTATTTTAGTGTATGTAGCTACTGGCCAGATTTTGGATTGTGTTCCCTCTTGGCTGTCTATAGTTATCTCTTATGTGGAGCAAACAGGATGGTCATATCTTAAAGTTTTGCTGATTTAAAGTATTTTTTATTAGTAAAAGTTTGTTATTGTATTTTTCTTGTAAGAATAATCAGAAAACCTTAAGGGGCCAACTGTTGATTCGAGCGTACGTTGTTAAGAACATTACCTAGAACAGGAAAAAAGGGGAGGAAACTCCTGATTTGTACAAGATCAAATCACATATTCGCTTAAATGTTATGTAATTTTATCCTGTCATTTATCCCTCAAAGTGAAATTATTTAAATCTTGGATAAATTTTAAACTTAAAAATCTTAAAAGTGCTTTCAGTTTAAGAAGAGTTTTCCATTCCTATGTTTGCAGGCCTCGGAGTAGAGGAAAAACTGCAGTGGAGGATGAAGACAGTATGGATGGTTTGGAGGCAGCAGAAACAGAAAACACTGTGGAAACAGGTAATGAGAGTATAGCGTTGGGGCTGTCTGGTTATTGCTTCTCTCTCAGAAACGCATTTAATTACGCAGGACTTTGGTAGGCAAGAAATATTTCTTTAATTTTGTAGTACGAGATGTGCATTTGGGCAGATACAAAAGAAAAAAAACCTGCTATATTATTTAAACATATTAAAGCTATGTGAACTTACTGTTTTTAAATAGTCTAATGGGAATGCTTTTGTAGTGTCGTTATGTAGAGGCTCTTTTTCTGGTCTGTATCTAACAAAAATAAAAGCTCTGAAGCAGTAGCTGCTATTTTTAGAATACCTGCCAAAATACAGTATCACTTACTGACCTGTGTCTTCAGCTAACTACAGCAGATTATATACCAAAGGGATAACCAAATGTTAATGCTTCCCGCTGCTGCTTAGGAAACAAGAAAAAGATCTGTTCTTGCTTTTGTAAATATTTGTTGTGATAGTACCCAAAAAGCTTCAGTTACCGGAGGGATCTCATTGTACCGGACTGCGTACCGTTGTTACAGTTTGTGATTTCTGTTCTGGCAGGTTGAGAGTCTAAAAAGCCAAGCAGATGAGCCAACACACAAGATAAAGGCCATGGTGAAGAACTGTCATCTCTTTGCCAGGCGCATGTCTGTAGCCATTTGCCAGTGTTTAACCAGGGACTGAATATGCGTAGAAGGCTGAAACCTGCCAGGAAGGATGGTGCCATGGCCAGTTGGCGATAGTTTGTTGGTTTGACAGAAATAAGCCTTACAAATGCATTGAGACATAAGGGTTTATACATTTAATTAGGTGGCCCTATTATGTGCAACGAGCAAAGTGGGAGGAAGCTCAGAGACACCAACAGAACTGGTGGTTGTTGCGTGGAGATGCCGGCTGAGTTGAGGGACTTGTTGAATTACTCTCATAGCTGCTAAGTAAAGGAGGTAGGGTTGGGAAGGCACTGAAGAGAAGAGTCTGTGCTTAATGTAGATCTATAGGGAGAACAAGCAGAGCACCTCAAAAGAGCTATTTTTTGCAGCAGCATTTTATAGAGGCCATACAGGAATATGGTTGCAGTGGTGAAAGCCATAAAAGAGGAGGCTGAAATTCTCAAGTGGATGGAGGATGAGGTTTGACAGTGTATGCTGGTCTCTTGCTTCTTACTTGCTGGATGGTGAACGATGTTGAGAAGGCTTTGTACTCGAGACTGTAGGCTTTGGGGAGTGTCATGAGTGTTTAGTCACAACTTGTGTTGAATTTAAGTGTCGTTAATGGTTTGTGGAGGGAGTCTAGATTAAAGCTTAATACAAGGATGTTTCATCGTTTTATTCTGTCTGTTGTTTTTCTGCCCCTGTTAATAAGCTGCTGATGGTAGTGAACTTGGATGGTCTTTTCCAGCTTCTGCAAGTAGGTAGTTACCAGTTATTAAAGTTGAAAGTGAAAAAGCTGTAGCAAGTATTTATCGCTAGAAAAACAGAGTAGGGGAAAGGAAAGCTGGTTCTAATTGTGTCCTATATTCCATATTACTCTTCTTATCCCATGTGATAGAAACAGTCTTATGAAAATTGGCAGAGGGGACAGAAAGTGTGATTATAATTGGTAAGTTTTGTAAATTTTAAATACGTTTAGAAAAACCCACGACATAAACCAAAAAGAATTTCAAGCCTAACTACTACTGGTGCGCTACTATGGAGGGAATTCGGTGATAGCTGTATTTTTTTGGCTTTACATGTCATTATTGACAAAGTTTCTCCACAGAGATCTGAGAGCAGTTTTTTACTTTGGAGGAGAGAGGGACAGAGATAATTATTTTTAAGGCTCCAAGAGTGCATATAGCTAAGTCTCTCCATTATCCTTCATCAAAATCATCCTGGCTGTCACAGAGGGCTGATGCTCCATTCTAAAGGTACAGGCGGCAGTGGAGCACTGTGCTAGAAATCCCGGTAGACTAAGACTCCGCTGGATCTGCTGCTGGAAGCGATGCACCATCACTGCGGTGCTGAGCCCAAGGTGGTTTTGCAAACTGTACTCGTAAATGAAGAGAAGCCTAGTAAAAATAAACAGGTCTGAAACCCCGTTTTTGCAAGGGGAACCAGTATAGACTTGAAAGAGCATTATCGTCTGGAGCAATTCGGTAGACAGAATTGTGATTACATTATTGTAAAAGATGAACACTATGTGACTTGATAGAGGTTTAATCATATTAACTGAAAAGGCTGCTGCCTCTAAAACTTATTCTAAGTGCTTATCTGTGTTAATAATGAAGTATGGGGAGAAGGAGTAATCCCAGTCTGTTGCTTCATGTAAAACCGTGTTAATCAAATTGAAGTATATTTGTGTTCTAATTTATGAGTTTCTACTTTGACTAAAAAGGTCTTTTATTGTGTTTTCTTGCAAATAGTGGACTTGCCAACAATTTGCTGTAGTAGTTGGCAAACCAAAAAACAATGTAGTAGTATTACAAAACTTGAAATGAGATCATTGTAACATCTTGATGTGTGACTTCTGACATATTTTGAGTCTCCATATTTGTAGCTTCTTTTCCATTGTTTGGCTCATGCATTGAGAATAATCAGGAATTCTTTCACTGTGAGGTTTTTATTTCGTGTTTGTTTGGGTTTGGGAGGTTGTTTGTATTTCGTTTTATTTACGAAGTCTAGCATTACTGGTATCCTTTTGTGAATTAATTAATTTTCATAAAATGAGAGAAGTCCATGTTATTAACATTGCATTCAGTATAATGAGCTCTACTTTTAGGGAACAGAGCAATGCAGGAGAAATGAGAAAGAGAGGGGGGAAAAGGAATGCCCCATTTAATCCTACCTAGAATAAAGAGGTGTATTCTAGCTGTCAAATCTTTTATGGGGAAAAAAGCAAGGCGAGATTTAAGTACTAAATATTATACATTATTTCCATTTGTAATGTTGAAACAAATGTTTGTTCAAGGAAAAAAAAAAAAATAAAAATAAAAAGAGCAAAAATTCTTCCTGAAGTGGCTCTTCTGTAACGTTAAGGCACGACAATTTTAATTGTAGTTTGGGAAACAAGTTACTACCCTTAACAAAATTCTGTAATCTCATGGAAAAAGAGGCAGAATGGAAGCAAAGCATGGTAAGATGTGTGCTGCTCTGATCATTTCAGTATGGGTTATTATCTGCGCCAACTCCAGTGATTTCTGAGCCTTGCCCGTTTTCTGCCAAGTGCTATGTTCGCTTTGGTATAAATGAGCATAGAATTCTTTAAGGATGGAAAGAGAGGAGGGATTTGGAACTGGAAAAAGGAAATTTTGGAATTTGGAATAAAGATCTGTTTGGAGCACAGTCAACTTTTTCCTGAAAAACGGTGCTGGCAACTGTTTCTACTGAATCAATAGACTTTCAGCTACTTGTAGACCTCAGGACAGACTCCTCTCCTTTACCCACCAGCCCCGTCTCTCTTGTTGATTTCTTGGCTCCTCCCTTGGGGTCTGTTTTGCTTCTCAGCTTCATATTGGTCTGTCCAGCTGTCTGTTCCATCATTTTTCTTCACGGAGGTTCCCCCAGTGATGTTGCACTGGTATTTCTCTATCCAACTGATGCTGAGCTTACCCATCCCTCCCATCATTTTAGTACCCACAGTGTTGTAGCATGGTTGAGGTTGGCTGGGACCTCTGGGGATCATCTGGTCCAGTTCTCTGCTCAAGCCAGGGCCACCTAGAGCTGGTTGTCCAGGATAATGTCCAGACAGCTTTTGAGGATCTCCAAGGATGGGAGACTCCACAACCTCCCTGGGCAACCTGTGCCAGCGCTTTGTCACCCTCACAGTAGAAAAGTGCTTCCTGATGTTTCAAGTCATCTCTTATAGATGTTCAGAGGGAACCTCCTGTGTTTCAGTTTGTGCCCATGGCACATGCACATGACACATCCCAAAAATACAGTTTGGTGTAGAATATTGTGTTCTCCTGTATGTCCTCTTCTGTTACTCCTCTCCAGAAGAGTAGTTTTCTTCTGATGAGTGAGTCTCTGTAGTGGCAAAAAAAATACAAACCACAGAAGTCTGGAAAGCACGTGGCTTTGTGTGCACATGTGTACGAAAATACAAAACTGCTAATCGAAAAGAAAGCAATAATAAAACAAATACCTCCTGGTAAGCTTTCTGTAGGCTTGGTGCCCCTTCGCTATTAATGAAGACTTGGCTTCTGCTTCTTTTCCCCATCTTCTATTAGTTTCAGCGAGTTTCTGTGCTTGGTATTTTGTTTGTTCTGCATTTAAGTTGACTGAGACTGAATTCTGTGTCTTAATTCTTTGATTGTTCCCTCTTTTTTTTGAGAACACTTGCAAAATATCCAACTCCTCCTAGAATCTGTAATCCTTCCTGTCTTTGTCTCACAATAAAATGTTGAGATTCAGACTGTGATCTGGGAGAGGTGCAGTAAAATAAGTTTATTTTAACTGCTGAGTCTCTTGGGAAACTCATTGTAAATCCATCGTGTATTCTGTTTACTATCTGTACCGTGTCAACCAATTCTTAAAATAAATTAGTACTTAATAACAGAGCCTTACCTCCCCGTGGTGTCTGGAGGCTTCAGAATTTATAATACGTAAAAGAATTGGTGTGATTTTACCAACCTATAGCTCCTTGCCTGCATTACTGTCATTAGTACTGTTATTTTCAGACCCAGTGACATTGCCCAACCAGTTGGTTTCATGTTGGACTTCACATTAACTCCCTGAGGTCTTCCTCTAATCAGCCTCTTTTGTCTTGGGGCAAAGCACAGAAGAACCAGAAACAAATACTTCTCAGTGGAGGACAGTTATTTGTGTAGAAGCCGCCAGAGAATTTTGGACTAATTCAGAATCTCATCAGCTTTGAGGCAGCCTGAAAAGTACTTTTCTAGAGAAAAAAATTATTGCAATATTGTACTTGCTAGAGAAACTACAGTCATCTTTTGTACCAGGATGAACCATACTGAGCAGAGCCTCCCACTAAGAGGGGTAAAACACACCTGAAAGCAGATCCTGCTTTGGGTGAATAAGT